TCTTTGGATTCAGTAGCTGCTGCCTGAAAGTTGAATGGAAATATTATAGCCAAAATACAACTTAACTTTTAACAAACTTGTATTCACTTTAAGTCACAACAACTGAAACGACCAGGCCTCACTCATCAACATTGTGATTTTAATTGAGGGTGTATCTTGTCCTTTTGATCATTCCTCAAAGCTTATGACCATAGGTGAAGGAGTGAACGAAGATTGAAGCGAGATGAAGAGCGAAAGCTTCATCTTTTGACTCTTCAGCACAACGGTCTGATAAAGCCACTGCATCACTGCCCACGCTGCACCGATCCGTCTGTCAATCTAACCTGGGAAAAGTTCTCCTGAGGGTGTCAGTTGAAAGTACGTTTGACTAGGGCTGGGCAATATGGCTGAAAACTAGATCACAATAAAAGTGATTCATATCGGTCGATATCAATAATTATTGATTGTTTTTTTCCATCCATCCATCCATCCATTTTCTACCCTTTAATCCATTTCTGGGTCAGGGGGGTGGCAATCAGAGATGCCACCCAAGTCTCATAGCACCCGCCCCTCACTGACCCTCTGCAGGTGGTGAGTCCACAGGAGGACGGCTGCTCTCTGAGTGTGAGCATAGCCTTGATCTTTCAGTGGGGGCTTTGGGCAAAGTGGGGTTAAGTGTCTTGCCCAAGGACACAACGACAGCAGTCATCAGTGGGAGTCGGTGGAGAAGGTGCAGAGGTGGGAATTGAACCCACGACCTTCTGGCCTTAAGGCCAATGCTCTACCATCTGAGCTACTGTTTTTCTTTTTAAGCTACATAAATAAATTTGTCGTGTCGGCTAACACACGTCCGCAGCCCTTGTTTACAGTCACGAGGGAATGAGAACTCAGGCTGGAGGCATATGTTCACAACCACAGTGTCCCCATTGTTAGTCCTGGTTTTACCGTTTCCAAGTGTCTTGTGTCCCTGTGATGGCTCCGTGCGGCTCTGATAGCCTCACATGCTTCCCAAGGAAAAAGTTAATCTCTTATTTTTGCCGCAGGGATTGAGTCTCTGTACCCACTGCCTCTCCCAAGCCACACTTGCTATTCCTTGCACAAACGTGCATAACATTTGACATGGCATTGAAACATCTATAGGTCCTATCGGCCATGATAGGTCGAGAAGCCTCTGCCTACATACCCCAGAATGCTGCGCGCGTCTGACTCTGGTGTATTTTTGAGTGTTTTCTTCCTGTTTTTTCTAACAGAGTTAAGTTAAACTATCGAACATTCTATCGATCCCATTTTCTATTGATATCGAATACGTGTATATCGCGATATATATCGTTATTGTTTTATCGCCCAGCCCAGCAGAACCTCACAATTAACAGCTCCATCCCTCTCCTCACCCAGGTTTTTGAGACATTTGCCCGTAGGTCAGATGACACAACAACGATCCTCAGATGGCCTGGTGCAACGTCCACCATGCTCGAACATGATGTTCATTGTGGACAAAACTGTAAATTGCATAGAAGTCCTATAACTGAACACCAGATCAGTGGTGTTGTTCTTCCTGATCACCCCTTTGCAAGAGTCATTGGCTTTTCCCACATTTCCTCGCATTGAAGTACCCCAGGACAATAACGGAGTCCCCAGTCGGTGCACTGTTCAGTACCTAGTACCTAGTAGTAAAGAAGGCGAGGTCCTCTGCACTGCTGTTTGACTCATAGGCCACCACAACAGTGAGACTTGTCCCCCACTGAATGTCGGAGGGTCACGACCCTCTCATTCACCCGGAATCATCAACATGTGGCGGCCGAGATGAGGGGCAATGAGTTTCCTCCGCCTCTCCCCATGAGAAATGCCAATGAAGTCGAGGGTCCAACCCCTCTAAAAGAGTTGGGTTCCAGAGCCCAAACTCGGGCAGCACAGAGCGGGACAGGAGGAGACTGAACAAGCTGGTCAGGAGGGCCAGCTCCACTCTGGGCTGCTCCCTGGACTCTGTGGAGGTGGTGAGGGACAGGAGGGTGCTAGTCAAAGTCACCTCCATCATGGACAACACCTCCCACCCACTGCACAGGACTGTAGAGGAGCTGAGGAGCTCCTTCAGTGGAAGACTGAGGCACTCTCAGTGTAAGAAGGAGCGGTACGGCAGGGCCTGTTTCCCCACTGCTGTCAGACTGTACAACAAGTCACTTTAAGTCACTGCATTAAGACTGAAAAAAACCTGCACTACTATTGACACTGTTTCTGATTGCCAATTTTTAAATTGCCACTTTTTATTGTACATAATATCCTGCATTTAACATGTTTTCTCATTTGTTTCTTTTTGCAAAATCTTGAGTGTTTCTATCCATGCCAGATGTGACATGTAAATTTCTCCTTTGTGAGATCAATAAAGTATATCTTATCTTATAATCCTTAAAACCTATACATGTTTGCTGATGTAATAACAGCATACCCCATTGATGCCCTTCTTCTTTGATTTCCACTCATCCAGCTGGGCCTTCGTCTTTGCATCCACTTTTACCAAAAGCTTTTTGTCTCCAAGAAGTAACTCATGCAACAGTCTGAGTGCACGGAGGGTTGATTCAGGTTCTTTGTATTCACAGAACCCAAAACCTTCAGGATCACACACAAATAGTTGAATGAACAACTGGTATTAAACATCAAAGCAATAATGTATACTGAAAAAATATCCTGCCTTGGAGTTTCCCAGAAGCTCCTTGGACACGTTTCCAGTTTAAAACAACACCACATTTCTGTAATAATGGATTGAGACATTTATGAGACATTAATAGGCAATCTTATCTCAACTTTGTATAAACATTTGAACACTCTCACATAGATTATGTTTTGAATCTTATGAACAATTACTTCACATTATAACATAGTAAGTATTTAGTGCTACATAAATTCATCTCTCTGTCAACATGGAGATTGTAAAGAATACTGTGAAAAAGGCAATCATCATATCAAAAATAGTTAGATATATAAAATATAACAAGAATCTCACCGCTAGCAGCTGTCTAACCAAGAGGTCTGAAACCTTGTCGGAGATGTTTCCCACAAACACAGTGGTTGTGGGAGCATCATCAGCATCATTGGACTTAGTAGCATCAATCCCAGGCTTTGTAAGAACTGGCTTTTGGACAATAGTAACTGGAGTTGTAAGCATAACCTTCAAAAATAAAACATTTTTAGTTTGGATATATACTTAAATAGGAGGCTTAGTATATGTTAATCTTAAACTATAGTGGGGCACCTGGTGGACACTGTTATTGCAACCTTAAGCAAGACTGGTCTGAGGGAACAATGGCATATATAAGCAGCCTTCCTTCACTAAGTATACCCCCCAAGTCGTAGTAGCTTACCACCACTGTGTATGGAATGACTGAATAATGCCATATGAAGTGTATGTACTTAACTATTACACTGAACTGAACTTTAGGCCAGCCTGAAGTTTTGTATACAATATACTTTTGAGTTTAGCTCATGAAAATGGAAGCAAAATGTGTTGGATTGATATCATTCTTACAACAATATATTTGATGTTATAATATAATAACTATTGAATAACAGTATAACATGTAATTGTAGTAGTAAACAAAGCCAAGCACTCATTATGTCTATGGTGGCCACACTAAATCCATGTGTATGTCATACTACAATTAATATTATTATTACTTACTGGTGGTGCTGAGGCCACAACGCCCATGTGGACAGGAATCATGGATGTACCTGAAAAACCACAGAATCACTTAAGTACATTAACTGTAATGATATTAAGTTTTAATTGTGAAAAAAATCAAATATTTAACTTAAATTACCAATCCAAAGATTTACATGTGTTACTCAATTAACTTAACAATCGTTAAACGTCTACCAACTAAAAAACCAGATAGCTAAAAGTGCAGTTACCTGGAGGGATTGGAGGACCATATGACCCAAACTGAGTAGGAGGGACACCCGGTGGTAAAGGCTGAATGCTCATCTGCTGCGGCGGGTACGACATCCTAAACTGCAACAATAAGAACAGTGATGTACATTTGTATTTGGTTTATTGACAGGGTTGGTGATGGCGGCATTGTAAATTCTTCTACAGCCTCCCCGTGTTAGCATTGAGTAGCTAAAAATTAGCTCCTGTTAGCATGCTATTCGGCTTAGTTAGCTCATTCCCAAATTTTACTTTTACTCACTTGCTCTTTAGACTAAATCCCACAGATTTTACTAGTGTAGCCTTGGTCGATGGTCGTTTATAAAATACGCGTTAAAATCATTGTTAAAACACTAAACTTCTCCACAAAGGTGCCATTAGCTTCGAAATGAATTGTGGGAAATGGCACTGTGTTTACACGTGTATTACGCCCCGAATTTGGTCTTTCAGGCAACAGAGATTATATTTAGTTCTTCAAATTGGATAGTTGTGACTTTATTTTCGCTTATTTCAAGAGTTTCTAATGCTTCTGCAGTAACAGATGAATACATAAATAGAGAAAACGTTGATCATTTAAAAATATCCAGTATTTTTTAAATTATTCCAATTGATTATTAGTCAAAATATAGAGTTGTTAGTCATGGATAATAATTTCATAATCGACAATATGTTGAACTAAATGTTTAAAAAATAAAATTATAGAACTTCCAATCATTCCGTTTTTAGATAAAAATTGACATTTTGAATTGTTAGTTCTTGCCTTGGCTACAGAGATATGCAATTGTTATGCCTTAAACAAAATACTCGGGAAATTAAAACTTCCCTCATTTTCTGATATTCTATTCTTCATCGCGCGAGGGCGCTAGATATTGACAGGCGACTCCTCCGATCACATTTCATGACACCGGAACAAGATTCGCACGACGATTACGCGCAAAGGTAGCAAAATCTAGCAGCGAAACCGCGGCCCGTTTTCGTACTATCTATTTTTCTGCCCATCGTGTGTCTGGAGCACGCTGAGCCACGTATTTGCTCGTCTGATTTTATCATTCGCCTACATTTGCACAAGAACTCGTGTTTCTTTACGGCACATAGCGGCATCATGGTAAGGCTAGCCAAAGGAGCTAACAAGCAGGCTACACAGAAGGCTAACCCTCCTGCAGAGGAGCTGGACGATGAGAACAATGAGGGGGAGGTAAATGAAGACGCAGCTGAGGAGGTTCCAGATGAGACTGATGGAGCTGCTGTTGAAGACACTTTCCCTCAAGACGACGACGAGGAGGATGAGGAGGAGGAGGAGGAGGAAGAAGCAGTAGAAGCTGAGGAAGATAACAACCACTCTGAAAAACGGAAAGCCGATTCCGAAGAAGACTCTCCAGACGCTAAGAAAGCAAAACCTGAGGAGCCAGAGTTTTGTCTCATCGTTGGAAACCTGAACACAAGTAAAGAAGATGATGAACTGAAAGAGTCATTAAAGGGGTTCTTTGCAGAAAACAGCCTTGAGGTCGTAGAAGTCCGGATAAGGGAAAAGGAGAAAGGGCAAAAGTATGGTTATGTGGACTTTGCTTCTGAAGAGGATTTGGATAAGGCCCTTGAGCTCAATGGACAGACACTGTTGGATCAAGAACTGAAACTGGAAAAAGCACCCAGTCAAGACTCAAAATTTGAGGAAAGGAAAGAGAAAAATGCTCGTACACTGTTTGCTAAAAACCTGCCCTTCTCTGCTACACCTGAGGAGCTGAAAAAGGCCTTCAAGGAGGCTATAGATTTGAGAATACCAACGGGAGACAAAAACAAAGGCATTGCATACATAGTATTTGAGTCTGAAGCTGTGGCAGAGAAAGTGATGGAGGAGATAAATGGAACTGAAATACTGGGAAGAACCGTCAGACTGGACTTTGTTGGAGAGAAAAGCAAGAATAAGAGAGGTGGACAGTTCAAAACCTTATTTGTCAGAGGTCTTTCTGAAGACACAACTGATGAGACTCTGAAAGAAGCCTTCAAAGGTTCAGTCTCAGCCAGGATTGTGTCGGATAGGGAAACTGGGGTGTCTAAGGGGTATGGTTTTGTGGAGTTTGAAACGGAGAAGGATTGCACTGCAGCTAAAGAGTCCATGGAAGGTGCAGAGATTGATGGGAACACAGTGGCTTTAGATTTTGCTAAGCCCAAATTCAACAAGCCTCGTGGGGGTCCTGGTGGAGGAAGAGGGGGTTATGGAGGCTTTGGCGGTGGCCGGGGTGGTGGTGGTGGTTGGGGTAGAGGGGGCTTTGGAGGAGGCTATGGAGGTGGATATGGTGGAGGTGGATGGGGAGGGGGAGGAAGAGGCGGCAGGGGAGGCTGGGGAGGCCGTGGAGGTGGTCCAGGGGGTCGGGGTGGCTGGAGAGGACGAGGGGGATTTGGGGGAGGTAGAGGGGGTGGATTTTACTATTAATCAGTTTTTCATGTTTTTTTTTTTATTATTTGATTTATTTTCAAGGAGTTGGGGCATTCCACAGAACATCAATGATTGTTTACTTTAAATAGGCATTTTAGGCCTATATTTTTTACCTTTATAAACATCACGTACATCTTGTCTTGAATGTGACATTGATTTCAATATTACAAAAAAATAAAGAAACCAGGTTTAAAGGTTTAATTAAGAATACTTTTGGTTTGACATTTGCAAAACAACTGTGCTTCATTGTACACCCTTTCACATCTTCAATTCATTGCTTATTTTTAGGATGCCAATTACTTCCAAGAGAAAGCTTAACAGTGTGGTAATGTCCTATGCCACCTTGTCTGGTGGCTGTTGGTGAATAAGAAGAATCTTCAGTATTTGTTGTGAACTTTTCCCAATAAAAATATTGTTTTAAGATTAAGTTTGTAACAATTATTCTTACAATGTTTTTTGCACTGTAGAAACGGTTGACCTTCAATTAAAGCATATGTTGGTCGACAACAGATCTATAATAAGCTATATGTTATGTAAGCCTTTTCAACCCTGTACGTGATAATCACGAAGCAGAACTAATAATAAACCTATTATACATAGCAATAGCCCAATCTATCACACTTCCAAGTGAGTGATGCACAACTGATATGTTTTAAGATGGACTTGAAAGCCGATCTGTGTTGAAAGGGGGCTCGCTTTATGGGCACGTGGGGGACTGAGCGTTAAAATGTAAACAGGCGTATCTATGCCGCTTGACTGCCTGTTCTCCACAGCTGTGGAAAATTCCACCTTGCACCAGGGCAGCGGAATATAGCCAGAGATCTATAACAAACATTTAAAAACAAGCCTCTTGGCCTACATCACCGCACAGACCACTCCCACCATACGATCCCTCGCTTTTACGCATTCCTGATTGGCTGCGCTGAAGGTGTGTCATCAAGCTGACGTAAGAGGCCAAATATAGAACTTTTGCTTTTGTTAGTTATGGTTTAAACAACTCATTAGCGCTTTAATAAGTAGAGGTCAAGTCCAAAACATTATTAAATTGTGCCCAATGTGTTTGTTTACTGTTTGTAATCACGCAATAACCTCATCTATCGTGTCCCATAGAAGCCTCATGAATATTTAAGTAGCTACCACAGCCATAAGACATGCCCCCTGCAGCAGCACTACCACATTCAGCATCCATCCACGCCACATCACACAGCGCTTTCCCCAGACTTTTGGACGGCAGCCGCTTGGGACAGACAGCCTTTTCAAAGAAGTGAAGATGGCATTGAGAGGATCTTTATTTCGACTGCTTAAAACTCACCTAAACCACACTTGCCAGCAAAGCAGATTGCAATCTGTGGCTGTACTTGGTGCTCCTTTCTCCGGAGGACAGGTAACATTGCTAAATTTAATTTGTTACTTTGTGGTGTGAAATCCTTGGCCAAATGTGTTTATCTCTGTTTATCTCTCACAGAAAAGAAGTGGCGTTGAGCATGGACCGAAGGTGATACGAGATGCCGGCTTGATCGAGAGACTGTCTGCTTTAGGTGAGTGCGCACGGGCCAGACAGGATAATCAGAGCCATTGGTTTTGTTGTCGCGTTATGTAACCGTGGGGTGGAACCTGCGGGGTTTAGCGCAGATTTAACCTGTAATTCCGGCATCAAAGACAGCCGGTTACATCACCTGGCACTATAATAAACTACACCATGACTAAGAGGAGAAAGAAGCTGTGACAACTTACACAGAAATGCACCCGACTCGTTTCTCTATAAAGCTTATAATACCATATCAATAATACCATATCAACATGATTTATTTCGTGTCCATTGTATCCCAGACTCCCAGACATGACAATACAATGAAATGGCGGCTCTTGAACTCAATGGCCTTAAAATGGGATGTACCAACATGTTTAGACGGCTTTACAAAGAGTTCAACCACTACCCGGTACTGTCTGCTGGAACCAGGATGTCGCTTATCAAAACGCGTGTAATGAAAACTGCAATAAAATGCTTTGTTTGTCCATGGCGCGTGCGTGGAAAACAAAGTGCGTAAACTACCTGTATAATTACGCACATACTAATCCTTGGTATTTGCTGAATTTAATCCCCTTCAAATGTGTCAGAAATCTTTCGGTGGTGAGTGTAAAGTTGGTAACCTTCGATGAGAGTGTCATGTACAGTATTGTAGTTGTTGAAAAATGGTGACGTTAAGTTTTGAAACTGTGGGTTTACCGAAGCTGCCTCGAGCCACATGGTTCCGCTGTGGTCATTTTCCATCAAGCGCACATGCTCCGGAGGGACGTCCTGTCGTCACATGCGCGCAGACTTAATGGGCTCCTCCATAAATTGGTCACAATGGAAATGCCAACCGTGACTGATAACGTGAATGCGAAAGGCAACACCACTGGCGGAAAAAACGCGCGCTCTTTGAGTAATAGCGCGTCCACGGGGTTTGCATTGTTAGTGAAATTCCACGCATGACAAAAGAGTTTTACTCATTTGAAAGATTGCAGGACAGTAGCATGGATCCCTGCGGGAAAGTATTGTCTCCCATTGGAAGGTGGTTGAGGCTTGTAATTACTACCTTTTAAGAGTCTACTTGCAGTTGACTATAAAAGCCATTTATATGAGAAAATACAATCAAAAAAGAACACAAAACTAGTGTGGATAATATTAATTATAAACATGTGCTATATTTTCCTTATTCAGCTCGATTTTGTTTGATTTATAAGACGGTAATAGAGGAGGCAGAATTATTTGACTGGCATTTACAGTATGTGTGTCTGATACTCATCCACTGTAAACATTAGGGTTTTGTAACCAACATGGTCCTTCCTGAGGATCTAATATAGAAAACTGCATTAGCCCATAGATGTATTATATTATTGTACTGCATTAGCCTTACTTATTCACATACCAGACCGACATGTAATCATTCAAATGGGACTACTTTCAATGAACGTTAACAAGCACATTTATCATAGACATTGTCTGCTATAATCTAGAATTGCCTCTTTTCCCCTGCTTGCCCATGAACCAGTTTGAGTCCTTTTTTAAAGGTGGTATAGTCCTTCCACTGTTGGTTTAGAACTGACCTAATAATATTTCACTCTTTGTGTGGACTTTTCCTTTATATTTTTATTTTCTGCATGCCATTGATTGACCTACTGTGTTAGTGACTTTAGAAATTGTTGTGAGTGGTGAAACCCTGCTCTAGCGCCACACTTGCTGAGTCTATGGCATATATGCCAGCACAGATATATTTTGACTCAGGCTGGAGGCTAAATGAGGCCAAGTATGAAACCAAAGACGAATGCAGAAGAGGATAATTCTTCACACACATTAACCAGCCAAAAAAAGTTCTCAATGTATTTAAAAATGGTGAGACCGTAATGTTTTCTGGAATCAAATTAATGTATAATAAATTGCAAGTAAGACCAAGGCTATTCCTGTCCAGTCTACAAATGGCAGTGGACCAAGAGTAGAAGTAGATCATTGGTTCTTCTCGATCAGCAGAGTAACTTTACACGGACATCAAGGCTCGTATTGCCAAGATGAGTCCTCAATATGGTCACTCAAATCACTTGTTTACCACCCCACTGTCTGATGAAATGGAAAGTTTTCTTGCAGCTACTTTATATTTATGTGGATCGTTTAGCATACTGTGCCCTGAGGATGTAACAGGACACAAGTGAGAAAGGATAGCTCTGGAAACTGCCTCGTCATAAATATCCCCTCCCCTCGACTTTGAATGACTCAGCTTGTCATGCTCGTGTCATGCTTAGGGGGATTTGAGACACTCAACAGACAGCTCAAGGATGCGGCCAACATACATCCATAAATAATCTACTTGCCCTTGAGCAGCACGCAAAGCTTCTGTACATGACACTTAAATAGTGACTGAGATTAGGGCTCGGAAATAAATCACACATTAATAATTGCAATATTAGTAATCTCACAATTTTACCATGGGACACTAGTGATCCTGGTCTTTTATTTGAACATTTTGACATTTGTAATAACTGAGAAATTGTAGCAGCAGCAGCAGATTATTACACCCAAATTGGATTGTTGCATCCCTATGATAAATTATCAAAATCCTAAGCATGGTCACACTTGAAATAAGAAATGTATGTGGAAAAAACATAAAGGGATGAATGTTTCAACAATATTTATTGATAGTTTATCACACTAATCTCAATGTGCTTGTAATACCTACCTTAGTAATACGAAGGTAGGTATTACATGATAAAGTTTTCAATATGCTTTGAGTTGTTTTGTTTCGTCTTTCTCCAGACTCTTCTATCCATGATTTTGGGGACCTGACATTTTCCAAAATAGAGAATGATGAAACCTACATGGAAGTGAACACCCCGCGCACTGTAGGAGCCGCCTCTAAGAAGCTGTCTGGAGCCGTGAGCAGAGCCATTGGAGCAGGGCACACCCTGGTTATGCTGGGAGGGGATCACAGGTGAGGACCAAATAACTTAAAGATGGAAAAAAGTAATTGTCTCCCATAACAGACATAAAATAATGTATATACTATAGTCCAAAGTGTACATTCATAGTGCACTTGATTTCTGATTATTCTGATCACTTGATTGAAAAAAAAATCAAGTGATTTTTTCACCAATCTTTTTTGAGGTGTATTATGTTACCACAGTCTGGAAAACATGAGGCACTCTTGTAGTAATAAAAAGTCATTTATTGTAGCATCGTGTCCTATAATGTGATACATTATTTTGATACATGTGTTCTTGGGCTCATTCTGAATGTTCCAATGCACCACCAGATGGCCCAATGTGCTGCATGTATCATGCCTGTACGTATGTAACTTTCATATGAAATGAAACACCTGAACATTCTTCAGTCTGAGGAGAAAGATGTGTCGGGACATAAACACCTATTTATCATGACACTGAGTGTTTGAATTTGCCCTCTGCAGTCTTGCCATGGGCTCAGTACAAGGCCACGCCCAGCAGTGTCCGGACCTGTGTGTGATCTGGGTGGACGCCCACGCAGATATCAACACCCCTATGACGTCTCCTTCTGGGAACATGCACGGACAGCCAGTGTCCTTCATGCTGAAAGAGCTGCAGGACAAGGTGAGGCCTAGTACAATACATTATTCATAAAGTTAAAGAGTTAATAAAAACAAACCTTTCAATGGCTTTTAAATCCAATTCAAATTTGAGTAATTCTAGAGCACAGGTGTCAAACTCAAGGCCCGGGGGCCAGATCCGGCCCGCAAGACCATTTCCAGTGGCCCCTGAGACTAATTTAAATTATTGTATTGAATAGCAGCCTTGATGGTTATAGGCAACAATGGCATGTTATCCATTACTAATTTTTTCAAGAAAACAACCATAAAATGTAATTCCATAAGAAATATTAAGCCAACATGTAATGAGAAGTTAGTATTGTTGTTTTATTTCACGAGTCTTCCATTACATTTCGTCTCAAAGGTATGAAGGAGGATTTCCCAGATTTTCTAAGGAAAGAACCGCCCTCTCAACCTTTTGAACAAATCTCTCTGCTCTTATTTGACGAGCACAAATCACCAGAATGATTGACCGTTGGGAGGACCAATAGTCTTGATGATCCACCCGAAAATCTTCCTATATACCTTCAATATTTGGTCCAGTTTTGGTTCAGTCCACAGTAACTGAACTAAGTTGATCAGAAAAGATTGTCCAATCTAACTAATGTGAAACAAGTCATTTATTTAGATACCTTCAAATTACAAAAAAGTATAATAAATGAAACCCACTTCTTTCGGCCCCTGATCAGCCCTTTAATTTTTTTTCGGCCCTCAACCAAAATGAGTTTGACACCCCTGTTCTAGAGTCTTTGCCTGGACATAGCACCTGGTGGTTATCCAACCAAATCTAATATATATATATTTATTAGTTTTTTTAAAGAAGTTCCTTAACCCACTTTGCCTGCAAGGAGCGCGGAAGTAAAGTGTCTTGCCCAAGGAAACAACATCAGCACACAATAGTAGAGTCGGTAGAAAAGGTGGACTCAAACCCATGACCTTCAGTCTCAAAGGCCAATTCTCTGCCAACTGAACCACTGTCAAACTATTGCAGTTTACTCATCGAGGGATGAATAATCAAATGTTTACTCAAGGAGGACAACTAGAAAGGATTTATCCAGCACTAAGAGTAACTAAAGTAAGATATTATAATTGGAAAATAGACCCATTAATATAATTTTACCAAAATAATGTGTAAGTTATTGATAATGTAATTGCTTCATGTAATATGAATAATGAAAAAAAAAACCTTTTGTGAATTTCCCAAAGGTCCCAGATCTTCCAGGTTTTGGGTGGATGAAACCGTTCCTTACCTCAAGAGACATTGTGTACATTGGTTTGAGAGATGTCGACCCTGGGGAGCAGTAAGTATAGCTGAATAATTGTTATAATCCATGCCTTCAACATGTTTTGGACACATCTGACCAACAATCTCTTTTTTTTATAGCCACATACTGAAAAACCTTGGTATTCAGTACTATTCCATGAGAGACATTGACAGACTTGGCATTCAAAGAGTCATGGAGGTCACACTTGATAATCTCATTGGCAGGTATGGTCGGTTACACAGTATTCTGGGTTTCTGCAGGGGTTTTAAAACCAAATTAAGACCTAGTTTAAACATTTAGGATCTGCATGTAATAATATATATATTTGTATCTTATGCATCTATTCCATCAACTGAATACTGATTACATTTACAAATATTATAATTACCTATAAGACTAAAATACCAACTTAACACTTCTTTAAAAACGCTTAGTGCTCTGTAGAAACGTAACATTGCATAAAAACAAAGAGCTACAGTGCTCTAAATTAGATCTTTATTTTGATCAGACAACAGCGTCCAATCCACTTGAGCTTCGACATTGATGCGTTTGACCCAGCCCTCGCTCCAGCCACCGGGACCCCAGTGAACGGAGGGCTGACCTATAGAGAGGGCATCTACATCACGGAGGAGATCCACAACACAGGTAAACTGCAGCCATTGACCGGTCATCCACATGTGTGATTTTTACGATTGATTGGAATGGTAGTTGACTAGTCTAGGAAAAATATCTTTTAGAGTCGCCATCACTGGCCTGATTTTAAAATGTAAATTACTCAAGTTCATCAACACTCCCCTCAAAAACAAGATGACACGTCTCAAAGGGTCATCATGCCTGAATAAATGTGAAATACTGCTCTGCTATACTTTATCAAAAATTATGAATGAAGAATTAAATATGTAAACCTGGACTAATCCAGAAACTGAAAACCATGATAAGTTTCCAACTAGTGGAGATTGCTGCACCTCAACTCAAAATAGAAAGTATAATCATATAACATCTTTCTTTTTGGTTTCCTAGGCCTGCTGTCAGCCATGGACCTTGTAGAGGTTAACCCAGTGTTGGGTGCAACCCCTGAAGCCATTGAGGCCACTGCGGCTTTAGCCGTGGATGTGATCGCCTCTTCTCTGGGGCAGACGAGAGAAGGTGCCCACGCCCCCCTCCACGAGGAACCCGCCGTGAGCGCAGAGGACACAGAACAGCTCAGACTTTAAAGAGATGCACAAAAACAATGTCCGCAAGGCATTCCACACAACCAGAGACTACATAAACTGAACTAAATTGCATATTTAATATGTATCTTTCTCTTTGCTGTGTTGTACCATTTGAAAAATGTGAATGCACTCAAGTCACTATTCTGATCTAACATTCATGTTGTTTGAATGTCTAATGAATGGCCCCATATGACTGAAAAGGTAAATGGTGGACAGACATGGCCTATAACAGAATTCGATCATCTATTTTCTATCCCACGACAAAGTGCATTTAAAGAAAAATCATATCTTCCATGTGTGCTCAATAAGTAGCCTTAGCTTTAAAATGTATCACAAAACATTTTTATGAACAGTGAAATACCAATGTATGTCAGTATCTTAGGTGACTCCATGTGTGTTGTTGCATTCCTACTAATGATGGGGATCTAATCAATTCAATACTAACCTATTTTGTTGTATGTAAAGTTTTAGACCTGCCACATGTGTTGCATTCTATTTAAGAGAAAAGACTGCCTCAAAGGTGGACTCACTTGTGGCTGTGCCTGCTAGTAATGTTAACTTGTGTTGCACTTTTGAACCAGCTGTGGTTAAGGTATTTCTTTGGAGTATACTTTTGTATTTTAATAATAACATAATCAAAAATAGTATTAATTGATACCTAGTTTTGATTGAACTGCTGTATGTTTTCGTTTCTATTTTTATTTCATATTGTTAAACTAATGTTGCCACTGCATTAATACCTCTTGTGTTCAGTTTCTATTTTGGTCTTCCAAAAATTTCATAATATTTCATCAGTGTCGGAGGCTGTTTTTCACACACATCTTTCTAGAACCACACTTTCATACAGGATCATATGACTGGGTTTTAGATTCTTATCAGCCCTACATTGCAGCTGGTGTAACACTTCAGACCACTAATGATTCTCTTATCGCCTTTATTTGAGACAATGTTGTTTGCCCTCAACCAAAAGTACTAGACTGCCGCCCTCACTGACGTCAGCTCCACTCAGCTCTCATAAGTCAAACAACAAGAATGACATAATTTACATTTAACTCACCGCACAAAGACAGTAGTCCATGACAGATTCTGGATTTTACAGTTGATCAATACAGCTCCAACGTAACAATGTGACCCACACATAGAGAAGCAGTCACTCGCAACACTAATAACTGCCTGTGATAAAACGTCTTTAGTTGGTGCGAATAGTTTCCATTAGTGATGATAAATAAAAATGGGATTGAAATATCCGACAATCATCAGCATAATCAAAAAAGTCCAGCGTATTAATCATTACCAGTAACATTAGTGTGCCTTTTATCTTCCCGTTTTTTGAATGTTTCATCCAACACCAGTCAGCAGTTTTGTCTGGATGATCCTCCAACACTCCAAACCATCTCTCAGTCCTCATTGTGGGAGTCAAACTTGATATTATTGCTTCTAGATTCCGGGAAGACTAAAGGTTCATATTTAGTATTGTCCTATTTTCTAAAAAACTTGAGGTATACAACTGCTCCCAAAATGGCCACCTCCATGAGAATAATAATCCCCAAAAGCAACTTGTTAGTCACAAGTCTGCAACAAAAACAATCAGAATTCAGTAAGTTACATATATTATAACACATATTAAAAAAGTGTTACAGTGCCTTGCGAAAGTATTGAACCTTTCAACATTTCAGGCTTCAAACATAAAGATATAAAAATTAAAGGCGCTATACCCGTTTCTGCAATGTTTGAATGTTTAGCACCGCCCCCCAACTCGCTCAATGGCTTCTCATTTCCCCTACGCTCTCATAACACAGAGCCACCTAGTTTTATTTGCGATCTGATATGTATGCTAACATTAGCATTAGCACAACTTCTTGTAAGCTGTACAACAATAACTGATGAAATGGTACAAAAGCAATGCACTGCTAACACAATATATAAGTAAAAGAATACCGCTAGTTTCGCGTCCGAATGTATTAATTTAAACATTCGAATATATTCTAATATTTAATTATAATTTATGATTAGGGCTCGGAAATAAATCACCCATTAATAATTGCAATATTAGTAATCTCACAATTTTACCATGGGACACTAGTGATCCTGGTCTTTTATTTGAACATTTTGACTTTTGTAATAACTGAGAAATTGTAGCAGCAGCAGCAGATTATTACACCCAAATTGGATCGTTGCATCCCTATGATAAATTATCAAAATCCTAAGCATGGTCACACTTGAAATAAGAAATGTATGTGGAAAAAACATAAAGGGATGAATGTTTCAACAATATTTATTGATAGTTTATCACACTAATCTCAATGTGCTTGTAATACCTACCTTAGTAATACGAAGGTAGGTATTACATGATAAAGTTTTCAATATGCTTTGAGTTGTTTTGTTTCGTCTTTCTCCAGACTCTTCTATCCATGATTTTGGGGACCTGACATTTTCCAAAATAGAGAATGATGAAACCTACATGGAAGTGAACACCCCGCGCACTGTAGGAGCCGCCTCTAAGAAGCTGTCTGGAGCCGTGAGCAGAGCCATTGGAGCAGGGCACACCCTGGTTATGCTGGGAGGGGATCACAGGTGAGGACCAAATAACTTAAAGATGGAAAAAAGTAATTGTCTCCCATAACAGACATAAAATAATGTATATACTGTAGTCCAAAGTGTACATTCATAGTGCACTTGATTTCTGATTATTCTGATCACTTGATTGAAAAAAAAATCAAGTGATTTTTTCACCAATCTTTTTTGAGGTGTATTATGTTACCGTGCACAGTCTGGAAAACATGAGGCACTCTTGTAGTAATAAAAAGTCATTTATTGTAGCATCGTGTCCTATAATGTGATACATTATTTTGATACATGTGTTCTTGGGCTCATTCTGAATGTTCCAATGCACCACCAGATGGCCCAATGTGCTGCATGTATCATGCCTGTACGTATGTAACTTTCATATGAAATGAAACACCTGAACATTCTTCAGTCTGAGGAGAAAGATGTGTCGGGACATAAACACCTATTTATCATGACACTGAGTGTTTGAATTTGCCCTCTGCAGTCTTGCCATGGGCTCAGTACAAGGCCACGCCCAGCAGTGTCCGGACCTGTGTGTGATCTGGGTGGACGCCCACGCAGATATCAACACCCCTATGACGTCTCCTTCTGGGAACATGCACGGACAGCCAGTGTCCTTCATGCTGAAAGAGCTGCAGGACAAGGTGAGGCCTAGTACAATACATTATTCATAAAGTTAAAGAGTTAATAAAAACAAACCTTTCAATGGCTTTTAAATCCAATTCAAATTTGAGTAATTCTAGAGCACAGGTGTCAAACTCAAGGCCCGGGGGCCAGATCCGGCCCGCAAGACCATTTCCAGTGGCCCCTGAGACTAATTTAAATTATTGTATTGAATAGCAGCCTTGATGGTTATAGGCAACAATGGCATGTTATCCATTACTAATTTTTTCAAGAAAACAACCATAAAATGTAATTCCATAAGAAATATTAAGCCAACATGTAATGAGAAGTTAGTATTGTTGTTTTATTTCACGAGTCTTCCATTACATTTCGTCTCAAAGGTATGAAGGAGGATTCCCCAGATTTTCTAAGGAAAGAATCGCCCTCTCAACCTTTTGAACAAATCTCTCTGCTCTTATTTGACGAGCACAAATCACCAGAATGATTGACAGTTGGGAGGACCAATAGTCTTGATGATCCACCCGAAAATCTTCCTATATACCTTCAATATTTGGTCCAGTTTTGGTTCAGTCCACAGTAACTGAACTAAGTTGATCAGAAAAGATTGTCCAATCTAACTAATGTGAAACAAGTCATTTATTTAGATACCTTCAAATTACAAAAAAGTATAATAAATGAAACCCACTTCTTTCGGCCCCTGATCAGCCCTTTAATTTTTTTTCGGCCCTCAACCAAAATGAGTTTGACACCCCTGTTCTAGAGTCTTTGCCTGGACATAGCACCTGGTGGTTATCCAACCAAATCTAATATATATATATTTATTAGTTTTTTTAAAGAAGTTCCTTAACCCACTTTGCCTGCAAGGAGCGCGGAAGTAAAGTGTCTTGCCCAAGGAAACAACATCAGCACACAATAGTAGAGTCGGTAGAAAAGGTGGACTCAAACCCATGACCTTCAGTCTCAAAGGCCAATTCTCTGCCAACTGAACCACTGTCAAACTATTGCAGTTTACTCATCGAGGGATGAATAATCAAATGTTTACTCAAGGAAGACAACTAGAAAGGATTTATCCAGCACTAAGAGTAACTAAAGTAAGATATTATAATTGGAAAATAGACCCATTAATATAATTTTACCAAAATAATGTGTAAGTTATTGATAATGTAATTGCTTCATGTAATATGAATAATGAAAAAAAAAACCTTTTGTGAATTTCCCAAAGGTCCCAGATCTTCCAGGTTTTGGGTGGATGAAACCGTTCCTTACCTCAAGAGACATTGTGTACATTGGTTTGAGAGATGTCGACCCTGGGGAGCAGTAAGTATAGCTGAATAATTGTTATAATCCATGCCTTCAACATGTTTTGGACACATCTGACCAACAATCTCTTTTTTTTTATAGCCACATACTGAAAAACCTTGGTATTCAGTACTATTCCATGAGAGACATTGACAGACTTGGCATTCAAAGAGTCATGGAGGTCACACTTGATAATCTCATTGGCAGGTATGGTCGGTTACACAGTATACTGGGTTTCTGCAGGGGTTTTAAAACCAAATTAAGACCTAGTTTAAACATTTAGGATCTGCATGTAATAATATATATATTTGTATCTTATGCATCTATTCCATCAACTGAATACTGATTACATTTACAAATATTATAATTACCTATAAGACTAAAATACCAACTTAACACTTCTTTAAAAACGCTTAGTGCTCTGTAGAAACGTAACATTGCATAAAAACAAAGAGCTACAGTGCTCTAAATTAGATCTTTATTTTGATCAGACAACAGCGTCCAATCCACTTGAGCTTCGACATTGATGCGTTTGACCCAGCCCTCGCTCCAGCCACCGGGACCCCAGTGAACGGAGGGCTGACCTATAGAGAGGGCATCTACATCACGGAGGAGATCCACAACACAGGTAAACTGCAGCCATTGACCGGTCATCCACATGTGTGATTTTTACGATTGATTGGAATGCACTGTAAAGTTTGATTGGTAACCCTTACTCAAAAAAAGTGTGGACACTAATTGCACACAATTTAATTGAGTAACTGTTATCAACAATCAGATCAGGTAAAGTCTGCATGAAATAATGTATTAAGCTTTACTCTTGACCATGTAACGCACTACGGGGCTAAGGGTCTGACCGCATGTAGGGTAAGCATCAGAAGAAGGAACGATAAGGAGCCCAGGAGTGTGAATAAAACACATACACAGTTAATAGCTTTTTTGGGGAAAATAATATGTATTAATGTTGATATATATATATTGTTATATGTGATCAAAAGGTTGTATAATAATAATAATAATAATGAAAATATAGTCAGCAGACACACGCACACATGTACCAACCAAAGCAAAATTCAAACCAAAGTGTCCCTTTCAAAGAGAGTAAAGTAAATAAATTATAGTGGTCACAGTTCTGTCAAGGTAAGTTCAGTCAGAGCAAGTTCAGTTCAGGTAAGTGTTATTGTTCCAATGTATTTGTAATCCGTGTGGAATGCGTATTGTAATCCAAGTTATCGAGTTCCAGAGTGGTGAATCAAGTTGAAACAATTGTTCCTACCACGATGATGCGGTGGTTGACAGGTTCGGGGTCGTTAGCTCGCCATCCAGTGGTTACATTCAGTAAAGCAGTGCAGTTCAGTCAGTGGAGGTGGGGGGAAAAAAAACCTGACCGTTGAGTGGAAGATTAGGTGCAAGAATCAGGGTGATGGTTGCATGATTGAATCCAGAATCCAAAAGGGTTGTTTCAGCAAGAAGCCGGCAGTGTAGACAACGCTGGAGGAGCATCTGTCCAACTGGATATGTTGTTGCGGTACTTAAGGGAAGTTGTTCCAAATTAAAACCGGAAGTGGTCATGTGACATGGGTTACACATTCCCCCCCTTACCCCATGTCCGTCCTCGGACATGGCCCAGGCTGGCAACGGATGGTTGACTGACAGGGTTCCAGAGATGGAACATAATCCTCTTCCCCCTGAACGGCAAAAGTAAAAGCTGTGCTCAATCCATGGAGCAGAGTTTGAATGCTCTTTAGCAAAGGATGGCCCAGCTTTGAATACTGCAATCGCTCAGGTGGGTTTCGGGTGCGGCCTGAACGGCGGATATCCCGTTCGGGCTCGGGATTTGGCAGTTCGAAGGTAACATGTAAGTCAGGTACGGGATCAATGATGAGACGATCTGGGGATGCAGAGAGTGTGCCATCGTCCACAGGTAAGTCATCAGCAAGGTCAATTCTTTGAGGTTCCAAAAATTCGGGGTCATCATTGCCGTCAGCCAAGATTTCTTCAGCAACTGGCATACCACTTCCGTCCACAAGCTTTTCCACTTCAGATTCAGGGGAATCTTGAGGGACCAAGCATGGCAGAGGAGCAGGGATCACAGGTAATACCGGCGAAGCAGCAGGAGCTGGCGGCTGGGCAACAGGTAAGTCATATAGATTAGTAAATTTCACAGGTTCGAATGATAAGGGAACATACACAGGCAAATCGTCATTTGATTCTTCAGCAGGGGCTGGAAGAATGGATGTCAACGGAGGCGGCGCAGGAGATCTTTTCTTCACAGGTGAGCGTTCAACTCGAGAAGGTAGGTACCCACAGGCCAGAAGAAGATCTCGATGTAGAGTGCAAAGGGGTTTCTCTTTCCCCTCGGGTCTCACAGTATATACAGGGAGATCGTCGGCCTTCTTCACCACAATGTATACATCAGCCTCCCACTTGTCAGCCAGTTTGTGTTTGCCTCTCAACCGTATGTTCCTCACCAGAACTCTGTCTCCAATGTTTAATTCCGACGCTGTAACATGTCTGTCAAATCGGACTTTGTTTCTTTCCATCAATTTGTGTGAATTCTCCATGGCCAGTTTGTAGCTGTCTTCCAAGTGAGACTTCAGCTTCTGGACATATTGCAAATGAGAATTAGATTTGTCTTCATTGAGTGGCAGTCCAAAAGCAAGGTCTACTGGAAGTCTTGGCTGGCGGCCAAACATAAGTTCGTACGGCGAAAAGCCTGTAGAATCGTTCTTTGTGCAGTTATAAGCATGCACTAGGGGTTTGACTTGATCCTTCCAATGAGCTTTCTCTTGTTCTGTGAGCGTTCCAAGCATATTCAACAGTGTTCTGTTGAATCGCTCCCCAATTTCCTCTTGGGTGATAGGGCGTTGTTCTTATTTTGCGTATGCCAGCCATTTCACATAGTTCCTTGATGGTGCGGGATTCAAAGTCCCTGCCCTGGTCGCTGTGTAGTTTTTCCGGTATCCCGTAGTGCACCAGAAAGTTGTCCCAGAGACACTTGGCGACAGTCCTGGCCTTCTGATTGGGAGTGGGAACAGCGACCGCGTACTTAGTGAAATGATCGGTCATGACAAGAATATCTTTGGTCCTGCCGTCTGGCTCCACAGATAAAAAGTCCATGCAGACCAGCTCAAGGGGACGCGACGTCTGGATATTCATGAGGGGTGCTGCGTGTTCAGGTAGGGACTTTCGTCTAACACATCGTTCGCAGGTCTTTACCTTGGTGACCACATCAACTGACATCCGCGGCCAGTAGAAGCGGGACCTGACAAGATCAAGAGTTCTTTCAATCCCCATGTGACCCATCTGATTGTGGAGTTGGTACAACACCTCAGCTCTGCACTCCTCTGGCAACACTAGTTGGAACGTGTGCTCACCTCCCACCTGTCTTCTTCTGACGAGAAGGTTGTTCTGGAGCTCCAACCTATTAACTTCTCTCAGTAGTAACGGGAGGTCAGGGAGATGATCTCTCAGCTGTGGCGGCGGTGATACTCCATGCTCAAGATGTGCAATTACATGCTGGATAGTGGGATCTGCACGCTGTTTGTTGGAAATGTCAGCAGGTGAAAGACGAGGGTGTACTGATGGGATGAACTGAGTGTCATCCACAAAACTGTCGGGGATACTATCAGCATGCACAGACATTGACAGAATGAGAGCATGAATGGGATCAGTGCTTGGACTGTTCATGAAATGCCGGTCAGAGATGGCTCTAATTGTTTGTTGGTCGATAGATGCATACTCTGGATCTTTGAGATGTTGCTGAGCAAATTTCAGAACTCTCTCGCGTTCCTTGCGAGATATGGGGTCATCAGACAGCTCACCATGTGGACGCCGTGACAGGCTGTCAGCATCTGCATTCTGCTTGCCCGATCGGTAGACAATCTTGAAATCGAATGTTGACAAGGCAGATAGCCACCTGTAGCTGGTGGCGTCAAGTTTGGCAGATGTCAAAAGGTAAGTAAGGGGGTTGCTGTCTGTGACAATAGTGAACTGGGCACCATAAAGATAATCTGAAAACTTTCAGATTATCTTAAGTGGGCAGTAACTGCCCACTTAAGAGCGAGAAACTCTAATTTGTCGGCTGGATACTTTGCCTCGCTCTGGGAGAGGCCCCGACTGGCATAAGACACAACTCTGTTTTTTCCATCCTGCTCTTGGTAAAGTACCGCACCAAGGCCTGTTGTACTGGCATCAGTGTGCAGGGTGTATGGTTGTTGGGGATTAGCAAAAGCGAGGACAGGAGCAGAGGCAAGTTTTGAAATGATGTTGTCAAAAGCATTTTGGCATTCTTGTGTCCACCGTCCACCAAAGGGTTCCTTTGGATTAACATAAGTGGTTTCCTTGACCTTGGAAGCAAACTTTTTCTGGGATGGGGGGGTAACCAGCAGTGAGATCGTGGAGTGGTTTAGTGATAGCAGCATATCCTTCAACAAACCGGCAATAGTACCCGGCAAAACCAAGAAAGGATCTCAACTCCTTTAAGTTGGACGGGACCGGCCAGGTGGTGAGGGTACTGACTTTTTCTGGATCCGTTTCTACACCATTTTGGGAAACGATGTGGCCCAGGTACTTAACAGAGGTTTGGAAAAACACACATTTTTCAACTGACAGTTTCAGTCCGAACTCCTTCAATCGTCGCAAAACCCTCATTAGACGTTCTTCGTGCTCCTCGAGGGTAGGTGCAAACACAATAAGGTCGTCAATAAAAACAAGGACTTCTTTCAAATTTAACTCTCCCATACATTTTTCCATAAGCCTCTGGAACGTACTTGGAGCGTTGGTAACTCCCTGTGGCATGCGGTTAAACTCAAAGAATCCCAACGGGCACACAAAAGCGGTTCGTTCCTTGTCAGCTTCTTCCATTTCGATCTGGTAATAACCAGATTTAAGATCAAGTACCGAAAACCATTTTGCCCCAGACAATGCAGAGAATGTGTCCTCCAGTTTGGGAAGGGCGAAAGCATCTCTGATGGTTCGCATATTCAGTTTGCGATAGTCTATGCATAACCTCACGCTCCCGTTCTTTTACGGACTACCACAATAGGTGAAGCGTAAGGTGACTCAGACTCACAAATGACTCCAGATTCCAACAGCTCTTGCAAGTGCTTCCTGACCGCATCAACATCCAGAGGATGGATTGGTCTGGGACGTTGTTTGAAGGGACTGGGGTCAGACAACTTGATTTGGTGTTTAACCTTGTCCGTTCGACCAAAATCCAAATCATGCTTGGCGAAAACTTCTGGAATGCTGTTCAGCTGGTTTACAATGCGTTGTTTCCAGTGTGGCGGAAGTGAGGAGTTTGCAAAATCGAACTGCAATGAAGATGAAGAGTCAGCAGACGGTTCTCGGTGGGAATGTTCTTTGGAGTCAATCGTCTGAAAGGCACCTATTGCAGCAATGACTGTCTTTGCTGGGATCGTTATTGTATGGTTCGACTCGTTACTGATAACAACTGGCAGTTGGCATGGCCGTTGTGGGGGTACATCAGCCAGACAACTTTTCACAATTAGCCCACCAGGTAGGGAACAGCATGTCGGATGGTCGATCACCACTGCCTTCTCGCCTTGCAGCAACCTGGTAACTGGAAATCCCTCGAGGACAGCAGTCTTGCCAGCATCAATGGTA